ATGAGGTAGTCCCCGAACATTGGGTTGTCCTTCCAAAAAGAATCTTGTTCGGATATTTTCAGTAGCAGTGGTGAGTATGTGTCCTGTGTCCGTCCATAGAAGTCGTTTAGATCGAGGATGCTCTGGTAGTTCTGGATAGCATCTGGACATTCTGTTCCAAGAGAATCGTGGAGAACACTGGTGATGTTGCCTGCATTCCTCAAAAGTTGTGGCAGTATTTTGGCTGCATTAAGATCCCGGTCATGTGTCCAGATATAAATAAGATCATGAAAGTGCTTCCGAAGTTTCAACTTCAGCACATTTGTTGGAGGGTGGGCATTAAGAATGTGGTCTCGGATTGGAGCAAGGACTTGAATTCGCTTTTCTTTATCAACAAATGCAAGGGCTGTCCTGAGCAGAGTGGTCTTGCTTGCAAGGATCTCTGGGATAGGTAGTTCGGCTTGCAGCAGGTCAGCATCTGTGAATCCATCTGGAAGCATTGAAAGAATGCTGAGCAGGTTCTGAGCTCCTTGAGTCATGCGGGAACTTGTGAATGACAACATGATTGATATATCCAAACTGGATCTTTTATCGTATCCATGTGAAAGCATGTGTGTGCTTTCAGTTTGCCATCGAGACAATGCTTTGTCACAGCCTTCATGGGCAGCCACACTTGCCATGAGGCTGACTGCTAGAGGCATATGCCCTGTGAGTTCAAGCAGTTGCTTGACTTTTTCTTCTTCATGTATGCCTGCAACCTCAATGAATGTCTGGAGTGCTGCGGGGCCAGAAAGTGGCTGGAGAGGGGCCAAGAATGGGTGGGTCCATTTCACTTTTTCTGGACGTTCAGCACCACGCATGGTGATCTATGAGCTCATTGAACCGTCAATTCCTCGAGTGAAAGGTCACGAACCATCAGCCCCAACTGGGGAACATCTGTCAGGAGAGAAAGGAATTCCTCAACTTCCTTCCTTGATGAGGCTGATTCCCAAGTTGTCTCCAGATTATCCAGGACTAGAAGACATGGAGGGGCATGCATGAAGTGTTGGGTAACTTTCTTCAGCTCATTGGATCCCTTCTCAACTCCAACATGATCTGCAACAGCTGACACCAGCTCAACACATGTTGGGGTAGAGTGGCATTGAACAAAGTATCGGTTTGCATACTTTTCCACAACTAGATCCGCATGCAGAACTGCTGTTGCAAGGCTGGTCTTTCCCATGCCCCCGGGACCCAAGATGGAAATGCGGGCGGAGTCTTGCATAAGAATGTTCATAACCTTCTCGAGCTCGGATTCTCGGCCGTGGAATATTTGCGGAGGAGGGGGGAGCATAGTCAAGGATACAGAGCTGGAAACATTGTTCACTAACATTCATAGTACAAATTAATTGTGCCCACCTGCTCCCAACAGTTGAAAAAGTCTCTGACCTGAGAAGTCTCAGAAGGGAGGAGGCGGGAAATAAAGGTGTCCTCACAGTTGAACCATCAGAACTGGTGAGTTCAGAGTGAGCTTTCAGGAGCGCGACAAGCTCCTCATGCTGCTGCTTCGCATCCTTTTTCATTTGCATCATGTGGGACAATTTTGAACCCATGGCTCGAACCTGAAATAAATTAGAGATACTACACAACAACAAGCTAATTAATTCATGTACCGTAAAAATTTCCTGGGCGTGATCGAGGTCATTTCTGCATTCCTTCAATCTTGCGGCATTGTCCAGCTGGCTGAAAACCCGTTTGATCTTTCCCATCCTTCCCTGGGTGTTCAGAAACATAAGGAACTTTTGAAGTGTTCTATTGTAGTGTCTAAATGCCGGTGCTTCAAGGAGAAATACAAAGTTGTGCTTACTCTGTGAAATTTGCTATATCGTACACCAAAGCCGTCGGAAGGACCCCTTGGGTTTCGGCCAAAGGACACAGTTTCAAAATGGTGCAGAGAATTTCATGTATTTTCTCAACCATTTCGAAACATTCAGCCTTGTTTGAATGAACTCTCTGCTCAAAGTCTTTTTCCAGCAATCGTGGATATGCTCTAAGGGACTAACCTCAACGCCTCTCACAATTGACAAAGTCAATGTGGAGGTAGATCCCAGGAAAGGAATATCCGTAGTGTTTGCAATTTCCTTTGCAGCGCTGGCAGCCACCGTGGTATATTCAATGAGGTTCTTGATCTTTGTGCAAGGCTGCATTGGGGTCATGTTTTACCGCGACGGGACAAGTCCTTCCTATATATATTATTTTGACCTAATACTCACACGAGTATGGTTCTAATTGTATTCTCACCATCATATCCACAAGGTATGATGATGCATTCAATCCCACGTAGCACACACCCACAACAGAACCCTCTCAATTGGACTTCAAGTTTTCCAATTCAGAAGTATACTATCTGCCCAACACTCCACGAGATTTAACGCGCCGCATCTCTGCAAATGCCCCCATCTGCTTTATGCCCTGTGCACAGATTGAAAACCCCCCACACGGAGTTACGGTGGGAACAATTCCTTGGCTGATCAATTATTTTAGCATGAATTGGTTGCTGTTTTGGGACTTCTTTCGCAAAGAGGCTCGGATTCACAGTCATACGCCGCAGGCGCGTTGACAAAAATCACTGTGGCCACGTATGCTCTGCCAGCCTATAAAGATGCGCGCGAAGTTCTTCCTCCTAGTCCCCAGTATCTCTCTCCACCAGCTTCGATTCAAAACTACGAATTGAATGCACTGCTCCCGCCTGTCAACATATGCTCTTTCTGGGACCTGATGACTCCTCGATGACTTTATGGCTTTAATCCGGATAGTCTTCATGCGGGAATATTGCTGGAAATTGTGGACGAGCTCAATCTAATGTTAAAAATTCAGAGACTTGCCGGCTGCCTTTCTGGATTCGTTACGGGGAAACTGGCTCATTGAAGACTTTTTCAATTCAATGTCAAAACATTGTGTCTGCTTGCTGGATTCATAAGATTTCTGTCATGCAACTTTTGATCTGTCTTTCGAAACTTCAGGGGTCCCGTCTTTACTGCCCGTCCCCGCTCTCTGCTAGACAATCTAATCCTGTTCTCCATCGCTAAAAAATACAGTTTTTAATTTCTCAAAAAGCTACTCAGCATGAGTCTGGTGTCGGAGCAGACCACTGCTCCCTTTCACTTCAAAATCCAGTGCTAATTTTCTTTTTTACAAAATGTAGGTCTGGTGCCGGAGCGGAGCGCAGGCATGTCTTGTCCCAATTGAAAGATCTTGAATAGAGGAGTCCAACGGTACCCAAATCACCTTATTTGCAAGAACTGTTTGCTCAGAATCGGCAATCAAAATTTGGCCACATCTATATGTATTCGGAATAGAAGTACTCGGAAATCGGTTTGACCTGGAATCTTAGAAGCTGAGATAGACGCGCCGCGAGACGCGATGTTTGGTCTTGACTACCCGATCAAGTCACATGACCGTGAAAACGTTTCGCAGTCCGTTGGGGCCAAGTTGGGGCTACGACGAGCGGCTACCGAGGATACGGATCTCTCTTTGTTCGTTGAAGTCGATGGTTTCTAGTCAACCCTCATTCGTGGTTCCTCAACGTGCAAAAAGAGGCAGAATGCGACGAATTCTTGCAGTTCTGAAGCGCTGCTTGGATGCTGCTGGTACCATCCATGACCAGGGAATATCTCAGACAAGGTCGGATGAACATTCGGAGTGGTGCGTCTGCCGGATGAGCGCCTCGTACGAACGGATGCTTAGTGTACTTCCAGATGACTGCTGCCTCTCCGGGTTAATAATCAATCATAATAACCCGGTTATGGTTCTGAGCAATGGTAGGGGCTGCACGCGGCGGCGGAGATGCGGAGGATTCATGTATGCCAAAGGCTGAGGTTTTGACTCCCTGCGTCCAAATTCTCCATTTCCCATTTCCCATTTTTCTTTTTTGGCTTCCACAAATTCTATCCCCTGGCAAGGTTCCAGTCGTGGTAAATACCTCGGATGTGGTGCGCAGTACTATATTTGCTCTATATTCGGAGCTCTTTTGGGACCAATAGAATATATTCATGCCGACTACGGACACGTAAAGTACCACGGCGGTGCTGCAAGACTGCGGCCTTGTCCTCGCTGTTGAGCGCAGGAGCACGTCCATCGTGAGGCTGCCTTCACCATACGGCACGCTGGCCCACTTGTGCATCAGCGGCTGGTCGAGGCCGGGTGCCGTGAGCAGGATGTCGACGCGTGCGGGCGAGTCGGGGAGGCAGTTGAGCTGGGGCGCTCAGGAGACGGTGATGGGCTGCAGGGCGTCGTGGGTGCTGCCGGGGGCGGGGGCGGGGGCGGTGCAGAAGGCGCCGGTGGCGCAGTCTATATGTTGTCAGTGCAATACATTGCAAGAAAAAGAGACACATACTAGGATCGACGACCGCAGGCGCACGACGCAGATGCTTGCCGAACTGCCGAACTTTGCGCCGGCGTGCCCGACCTTGATCTTGATGCCTCGAAGCCCATGTGTGTATGTGTGGGTAAAACGAGGGATGGAGAACGAGTGGATGGGCGGCCGTCGGCGGCAACGACGAGGGGAAAGCGAAAAGGAAGAATTTAAAACTCCGACGTGATGGTTGGGGTCCTGTTGGTCAATGTTCAACGTTGTCAGGGGTGATGGGCGAGGACGGGCGAGGGATTTTGTACTGCAGCCTCGCGCTCGTACTCGGTTCACTACTACTCACACCACTGCACGCAAAGCTGTCCTCTAGCATCGTTCATCGATCACAAATTCGTTGACCCGACGTTCCTGTCAACCTCCTGTACTTGTCCGCTCTGACCCTCGTTTGCCGGGGTCGGTTCAGCTCACTCATACCCCGCTCCAAGTGGTATACAGCAACTCGGATATGGTGCACGGTGCACACCGGCTTAATATTGCGGAAAGGAGTATTGACCATATAAGCCGAAGGCCAGGGTTCGACTCCCCGCATCCGAATTCTTCTTGTATATGTTTTTTTCCCTCTCAAATATTTCTTTGGCATGAAACTAGCACCCTTGCAACACTGAAGAATAACTCGGATGTGGTGCACGGTGCGCATTGGCTTACAGTAATGGGCTCCGAATGTGTATCCATGTAAGCCAAAAGCCGGGGTTCGACTCCCTGCATCCGGGTTCAATATTTTCTTCCCAGTATTTTTTTGGGGGGACCACAAAATCCTCTCATGTGGCACGCCTCCAGCGGTGAAGAATAAATCAGATATGGTGTACGGTGGAAGACTGGGGCTCGACTCCCCGCATCCGAATTTCCCTTGTATCTTTTTTTCCCTCTCAAATATTGCTCTGGCATGGAGCTAGCACCTTCCAACAGTCGAGAATAACTCGGATGTGGTGCACGGGGCACATCAGCTTAATATATTGCGAGTAGTATATTGAAAGCCGAAGGCCGAGGTTTAACTCCCCGCATCCGAATCTCCCTTCTTGTATATTTTTTCCCCCTCTCAGATATGTACTAGTAAATTGCCCACTCACTCACCCAGCTTCCTTTGGTATCCAATATCTTGGATGTGGCGCACGGTGCACATCGGCTCTTTATAACCTTGTCCCATCGTATTGCAAGCTGAAAGCCGGGGTTCGACTCCCTGCATCCGAATTCCCTGTTGTTGCCCCCTGTTTTTTTTCTTCTTCTACACAATCCTCTCCCTCCTCTGGCACGATTCAGATGGCGAATGATACCTCGGATGTGGAGTATGGTGCACATCGGCTTAATATTCTCCATGCACCATCCAGATAAGCTAAAGTCCGGGGTTCGACTCCCCGCATCTGAACTTGATCTCTTCTATTGCGTCTTTTTTTTCAATTTTATTTGTGGCCCTCTCACTCAGCTTCGGAGGACTTGGAGGAACTCAGAGGTGATGTATGGTGCACATCAGCTTAATCTGTGTCGTATAAACTGAAGGCCGGGGTTCAACTCCCTGCATCCGAATCCCTCCTCTTTTCTCACAATTTTTGTTTGGACCACGAAATTCTCTCCCTGACACGCCTCCAATAGTGGTGAATACCTCGAATATGGTGCATTGTAACGCATCAGCCATGGGAACATATAGCTGTGCGCTGAAAGCCGAGGTTGGATTCTCTAAATTCCTTAAGTGTCGCACTTTTTTTTCCCTTTCAGATATGTAGAATTGCCCGCTCACTCACCCAGCTTCGTTTGGTATACAATACCTCGGATGTGGTGTACGGAGCACATCAGCTCAATATCGTGCAAGATGCGGCTTTCCTAAAGCCGAAAGCCTAGGTTCGACTCCCCGCATCCGACTACAAGTGTGTCTGGACACTCCTTTTTTTCTTTTAAAATTTATTTGCTGAGATGAAAATTCGCCCAATCACCCAGGCTCGATGGAATAGAAAAAGCTCGGATGTGGTGTATGGTGCACATCGGCTTCATATATCGTGAATGGCACGGAATAAACTGACAGCGTGGGGGTTCCACTTCCCGCATCAGACTCAACATCTTCGACCAGTTCTTTTTGCTTCAACAAAGTATCTCCCCTGGTGAAGAATACCTCGGATGTGGGGCGTTGTACGCATCAGCCATGTGAACATCTAGTTGTGTGCTGAAAGCCGAGATTTGACTCTCTGAATTCCTGTAGTACTTTTTCTCCCTCTCAGATTCAGATATGTACTAGTAAATTGCCCACTCGCTCACCCAGCTTCATTTGGTATCCAATACCTCGGATGTAGTGCACGGAGCACATCGGCTTGATATAGCATGGATCCCAGCATGAATAAGCTGAAAGCCGGGGAGTAATCCCCGTCAGTGTCCCGTATGCGACCCATATCATTGCGTGTTCAATTAAAAGAAGGCCACAACTTGCGCTCGTTCAAGAGTGCGGACGCAGAATACACTCTATTATTCCCTCCGCATGAAGATGAGAGATCGCGGTTTGAATGTCCTGGAGAAAATCTGACGCAGGGTCCGAAATGGCACACGGCGCTAGCCGAATGCGTACGTACGTACATCAGTGATCGCTGGGAAAACCCTAGTCTTTTGCCACCACCACCCTCAATCCTCTGGCTCGTTCTCTTCCAAACGAGCCAATTTACGGAATGGTTCTTACCCGCCGGGCTTGCAAGGAGATATCCCGGTGGCTTCCAAACGAGATCATCGGTGAAATAATCCGTAATGCGTCGACGGGGGATCAGGCCACTCTTTGCCGGGTCTCCAAGCTGTTCCAGGGTTTATGTCTCCCTTTCTTGAATCGCGTCGTCTCCCTCGACAACTATACCATGGCCATGGCGTTCTGCTCTGCACTAACTGCAAACCCAACCAGAGCAGTTGCTGTGCGTTCGTTCACTGTCGATAAAGACAACGAGTGGTGAGTCTTCAATTGGAAAATTGCCCGGGTTTCTCACCTCCCGCAGCCCCGTCAGGTCGCGTCTCCCTGTCGAACCTGGTCTATTACGACGGACAAGCTGAACTCGTTCCGTTCGTGGTTGCTGGCGGTCTGAAGGCGGCCGAACTTATGTGGCACGCCAACGCTGATATCGAAAATCTAATCATTGCACTGAACTCGTTGACGAGGCCCGATATCCCGTTTTATTCTTATCATCAATACTGCGATGATTACTGCATGCCGATTATAACATTGTCTCGATGTACATGCCACAAACGAGAACCCTCCGAATGCGTTCGCTGTTGGATTACGATCTACTCTTGGATCAGGCAAGTTTCAGTATTATCCCTCGATATTGGCCTGCTGATGTCCACCAAGGAAACAATCGATCATCTTATAGCATGTCTTCCACGTTTTACAGGCCTCATGTACCTGGCAATGGAGTGGCTCTCCGGCTGCTTCCCCGGCGTCCTTTTCCGCGACGACGACCGGATCACAGTAGAAGCTTGGGCCGAGGCCTGTCCGACCTTCGAGGCTTGCTGCCTGAGTAAGTTATCGATTCCTTTGTCTTTGCTTCCATTGACAATGATGGTTGCACAGACAATAATGCTTGGAGGAAAGTCGAGGGTTCGTGGGAGCGTTATCCGATGAAGGACTTTCGCGTGCTTGCGGGCATCCCAGAGTATGGCACTGCTCTACAATATGTGAACTTTGAAGGAGAGTAAAATGGGACTAACACCTAGTTAACTGCGATCAACTCTTTTTTCTTCGGCGAATCTGCTGGATTTCAAATTCAACTGAAGATGACGCGGATGATTCAAAGCCCATAATCCCAGGTTTTTTTAGCTCCAGTTTACATTCTGACCATCCCTGTCCAGCCAACAATTCAGTTTCCCCCCCGCCTTCGTGAACCAGATGGCTATTTTCTGTTTGTTTTCCACTTTGACAACCAAATCACGATACCCGCTGTCCTCCAACAAGCTATTCGGTCGGATTCCATCTCAATGAAGGTAGCTCAAGCGCTACCAACCTCGAACGGGCTATCCACTGTACTACGTCCGCCTGAATTCTCGTGAATGCGCCCAGCGCTCCAAGGTCTCCATTTCAACCATTCATCAAGTCGAACGAATTTTGAATCACAAAATTCTCAGCGCGGTAAGTTAAATCCCTGCAGAGTCGGTATGTATATCTGTGCTATCCATGTCACCTCGGGACAATCCTTCCAATTCTTCGAAGTGAACCTCTCTCTTAACATGGTACAAGGAGTAGGTCGCCTCTCTCGCAATATTTTTGTCCCCAGAGCTAAAGCGATGGTAGTAGTGACACAACAATAAGAATACTGCGACGCACAAGGACAAAAGATTCGAGGGTCGAGGCAAGTTTCACATTCTGGATGGCGGCTCTCAAGCTGTCACGCCGCGCGACGTTGCAGAGGAAATGGCATGCGGCTTCGGTGGTCGAAGAGCACAATACCAATGAGACTACATGGGACATTGCATTCGTCTGGGTAACGACGAACTTTGCGCATTTTTCTGAGGAACTTAGGGCGACGAGGACGCGCAACGCGAGTTGGCGGACCTCGTCCCTATCTTGCCTGCCGGTTCCAGTTAGCCAGCCAACCTACGAACAGGACGAAAACACACTCGAGAAGCACAACTAGTTCTAGACAAGAGGCCATGTTGAACCTTGGGATCTCGTTTGCCAGTTTGTGCAGGATGGTCGCAGCTGTAGGCGGCTCCAGAATTCCAAAGATGTGCTGAAACATGATCAAGGATGCTGCTTCAACCATGAGATCCCCATGCCTGCTGGCTACTATGAGAGTAGCCTTAAATTTGAGTAAATACTCTACATACCACAAAAGGGCCACCAGAGGTAAGCGGATCGCGCCTTTTTAACTGGACTTTGGGCCCCGCGCGTCTTTTTAAAAAATCTACGACTGCGGGCCAGAACCTTGGACATCTAACCGCCCATGTTTTTCTACGTCACGTATTTGTTTTTTCGCGTTTCTGTTGAACCTGGCATGTATTTGAATGAACCTAATGGCTATTTCAGTGTACCTAATAAACCTAACGTGAGTTTTTTTTCTTCATTTTGTACCGATTCTAACACGCTTTTTAGCTGTTTTTAACGCGCTTTGAACCGCCAAGCCTCGTTTGAGTGTAGGTAAGTGTGTTTCGAACGATTTCTAACCATTTAACGCGTGTTTCTATTAGGTTTCTAACGATAAGCTTTCATTATTGCGATTCCAACCCTTTCTAACGCGTTTTCTAGTGTTTCAGTGAATATAACGCGCTTTCCAACGAATCTAACTGCCATTTCAGTCTCTTTTTATCCATTTTGAGCCGCTTTTTTAGCAGCAATGAAGCGAAAATTTGTTGTTAAGCCTAGTTTTACTGGTTTCTAACGAATCTAACGCGTGTTTCTATTGAATCCAACGCGCTGTTCAGTGAATCTAATGTGTACATCTACGGTAAGCCTTCAATACCCCAACTCCAAACGTGTCTAACGCGGTTTAACGCGTATTGGACCAAAAGAACGCGGATTTCTAGTACAATTGCTACTAACACCCAATTTTTTTTTTTGAAGCCCTTGTCGCTGTTCAGGGCGGGGCTGCGGCATGACTTGGGCTATTTAAGCTGGGTACCTCCTTTGAGGGGTAGTAGGTGGCTGGATTGGAGCAGTAGGGAGCAATATAATATATTCATGCAGACTACGGACAAGGAAAGGCATGGAACGGAAGGAGTCGACGCACCGGCACGCGCGCGACACGTCGAGCAGCCGCAGTTGCTCGAGCGCGTCCATGCGCCCTGTGATGCGGCGGAGGGCGACTTGGTGTAGCGGTCGGCAGACAGCGGCAGCAGGACGGCGGCGGCGGTGCGGCCCGTGCTGAGGTGGTGCTGCGCGACGGCGCCCAAGGGGGGCGTGACCGTGGTCTTGTCGTCGGTGTTGAGCGAGACGTCGGCAGCGGTGGGCTTGCCGGTCGCGGGCTCGGCGTAGGTCGCGGTGATGACCGGGCCGGCGGGGATGGCCTGCAGCGCGGGGAGCGAGCCGGCGGGGATGACCATGACCCACAGCTGCATGCTGGGTGTGGCGCCCCACCAGCGCGAGAGCACGTTCATAGTGAAGGACCCGTCGGCATACAGCACGCTGGCCCACGTGTGCATCAGCGGCTGGTCGAGGCCGGGTGCGGTGAGCAGGATGTTGACGCGTACGGGAGAGTCCGGGAGGCAGTTGAGCGCTGTGGCCCAGGAGACGG